ATGGGGACAATGTTTTTAGCAGAGCCTGTTGGAACAGGACAAGGTGTGATGGTTTTAAACTGAAAGAGAGGAGATGTAGACTAGATACAAGGAAGAAACTACTTACAATAAGGGTGGTGAAACACTGGAACACGTTGCCCAGAGAGGTGGTTGATGCCCCATCCCTGGAAACATTCAAGGTGAGGTTGGACAGGCTCTGAGCAACCTGCTGTAGTTAAAGATGTCCCTGCTCACTGCAGGGGGGTTGGACTAGGTGACCTTTAAAGGTCCCTTCCAACCCAAACCGTTCTATGATGCTATGATTAAATCAAGGTACTGGAAGTGCTGAGCAGTGGGGTGTCTGCCTGTCTGCGTGCCCAGCCTCAGGAGGCATAGCCTGCCAGTGGAAAAGGGATGGTGTTCTGAGTTCTTCTGTGATGTTGCTGTGTAATATGGAGTCATTCCCCCCAGAGTGGAGACTCCAGCAAAGCTTGCCTTGACTGTTTCCAGTGCACGTTTAGATTGCTGTTCTACTAAGGCACATGTTATGCATTTCTTTAGCAGACAGTTGATCTCTGGACAGATTATGGTGAGTTTGAAGTTATATTTTCCCTCCTCTATCCAAGGAAGCATAATGCAGGCTTCCTCAAAGATGAATGGGAGAAAAAAAGGAAACAAATTTATGAACCTCCACTTTTCAGCAGATTGCCTGAAGTCAGTGGTACATTTAGAAAAGAAAGTCCCTGTCCCAAGTGATTGTCTTTTTGCTCCAGTCATTTGCATGCTGAGCTCTGCCTCTCTTCAACTGTTCAAATGTGATCTCGTAAGACACTGATTGAGACTATTTCATTCCATGCATATGATTTAAAAGAAGAGGCATCTTGGCTAAGATTTGGCTACACATTCTGCCTCCTTATCCACCAACTAGTCTATGCCAGAGCTGTTCTTCCACCGAACTGCTCACTTGCAGATCAGTTAGTCCATCTATACAAGCTCTTCCAGGGCCTACAACACTTGTGTTTGTGTTCATGGGTCTGCTTATCTAGTAGACCAAGGATGCTGAGTTCAGTCAGTGTCTGTTGCTCCATGACAGGTACCCAGGAAACAGGCAGGACTTGCTGTAGCAGGTAGAGGTAGTTCATTGCCCTTCTCTGAAAACAAACAAGGCTGATCTGAGGGTGGTTACCAATTCTGGCTCTATGGACAAAATTCCCCTTGAATTCAGCAGAGATAAGCCTGTCAGCACAAAGGGTTGGTTCAATGTGTCATGTGATACACTGGAATATACTGCAGTGGGTGGAGGGAAATACAATTTGATAATGAAGTCATTCAGCCTAAGCAACATGGGAAAATTATTCATGTAACATTAAAAAGAAAAAAAGACCTGAGATGAAGCACCTGGGACTTATGAATATTCATCTGTACATGTTACTAGGCTATGTCAGACCTCTTCTTGAAAGTGTTCACTGAAAGTAAGCAGAAGCAGCAGTCTTTATTTTGACTGTAAACTCTTTACAGCAGGTCATTTTCAAAGGGTTTCACCATCATGTAGAACAGTGCAGTCCTAATCCATTTAACTTTGGCCATTAAGTAACAGCAATTACAATTCCCCTCTGTACTTGCCTCTGGGCATGTTCAAAACCAACTGGAGATAAAAATTATCTTTGTGGAGCTCTTGCTTTTCTGACATCCTTACCATTCATTCCTCTTGGTGTGTTTCAGCTCCTCAGCAAAGACGTGAAGCAGCGGCTAGGATGCCAAGGAGAAGGTGCAGCAGAAGTGAAGAGACACCCCTTTTTCAAGAGCATGAATTTCAAGCGGTTAGAAGCAGGAAT